ATTGCTGGTGGAAATTTAAAATAGCAAAACCACTTTGGAAAACATTTTGGCAGTTTCTTAAAAGGTTCAATATATATTTATCATATACCCAGCAATTCCACTCATCAATATCTACCCAAGAGAAATGGAAATATGTCCACACAAAGGCTTGTACACAGATGTTCACTGCAGATTTATAATAATAAATTAATAAAAACTGGAAACAACTCTAAACAAATTTCAGTACTTAGCAACAAAAAAGAACAACCCACTGCTACACAGAACATGGATCAATCTCAATGACACAATGCTGAGTGAAAGAAGCCAGATATTAAAAAGCATATACTGTATGATTTCATTAATATAAAATTCTAGAAAATCTACAATGCCAGAAAGCAGATCAGTGGTTGGGTGGGAGTGGGTAGTACATGGATATTTTTTAGGATGATAAAATGGTCTATATTTTGATTGTGGTGGTGGTTACATGGGTGTATATATTTGTCAAAATTCAATGAAGATTATTTTTTTTCAACTATGACTAGTACTATTAATTCCTATTTTACTTGTAAGAAAACCAAGGCACTGAGAGGATAAGTAATTTATCCAAGAGCTAAGATTTAATCCTGGTAGTTTTATTCTAAAGCCCACGTTTCTAGCCACTATTTCACTATGCCTATATAAAGGTGGAATACATCTATAATCTCTTCTCTTTTGGACACTATACATGTACTTATGAACAGGTAATACTTTTATAATCAGAAAAAAATATCTTTTAAAAGACAAAAACCCTTTAGGAACTCCCTTCAAGATGACATTTGATCCATTACTCACGACATGGGTGTATATGTTAATCTTTACGAAGTCATTTACCTATATTATCTTCCAGTCCACATTTCTTAATCTTGTTCACGAATATAACATGTAAAACTTCATCAAAAGTCTTCCAGAAAATCAGATATGCTACAACTATAGCATTTCCCTGATTCACCTATCAAGTAACTCTATACAGGAAATATCTGTAATAAATTCATGCCAGTTTCCAAAGACTACCACTGCCGTGTTCACAAACCATCCTTTTAATACTGTGGTCTAGAATTTTGCCCAGAATCTACATCAACCTCACTATTCTATAGTTCTCCCTAACTCCCAGGTTATCCAAAGACTGCAACCATTAGCTCAGCAAGCTTTCTCCTACTGCAATGAGATATAGTTCACCAGGGAGGGGAGACCCTGAACTCATTTACAGTAGTTAAGCCCTTTTGTACAATTCTTTTACATATTCTGCACTTCCGTTCCCTACTACCAATATTTTCTTGGTCCTTCGCAGAGTGGAAGTAACTCAAGTAAGAGGAGCTAGAGCTCTGCTTTCCATAATCTGTTAAATCCTTCTTTATCCACCCCAGCAGCAAGACTAACTATACGTGTTCTAAACACAACTAAAAAGCTTTTTTAAAAAAATGATTACTGGCATTTTCTGAAGGTCTCAAACAATTCTGGGATTTCTATTTTCTGAAGATATTCTTATGAGTTTTGTCACTCTCTGTTTTTAAGAGACAAGGTCTCACTGTTGGCCCAGGCTGGAGTACAATGATACAATCACACCTCACTACAGCCTCGAACTCCTGAGCTCAAGGGATTCTCCTTTCTCAGCCTCCTGAGTAAAAGATAATTTCTTTTTGGAAATAGCTTGGTCATTTGGAACCAAGTCTAGTAAATAAGAAACAGTGATTTAGAGTACTGTATCACAGTACTTGAGAGCATGACTTTGAAATATAACAATATTAGAGTCAGAGCTCTATCACCCAATTTCTACCAAATTATTTAAATTCTCTGAGCCCTAGCATCCTCATCAGAAAAGTAATAAAGATATCATCCATCTCATAGCCATTGTGAAGATTAAATGGAATACTGTATATATAGCTGCTAATTGTATATATAAAATATACACCATACATGGGAGGATGTGCATAGGTTATATACAAATACTACACCATTTACTATAAGGGACTAGAGCATCTGAAGATTTTGGTATTCACTCAGGGGGTCCTGGAACCAATTCCCTTCAGATATCGAAGAATGACTATACATGGGGAACAATATGTTTCTTTTCTTCTTTTCTCCACTCAGTGATTATAATCGTTATTTCAGAGTGTGAACCACATATACTAAATCTGTCACTGGTAAACTTAAAGAAAGCAAGTGATTTTTCAGTTTATCCGTGTTTCAACTATTCACATTTTGCTCCAATTATTTAAGACTATTTTTTTTTTTTTTGAGACAGGTCTCTCTCTGTCACGCAGGCTAGAGTGCAGTGGCATGACAATAGCTCGCTGCAGCCTCAAACTCAAGCAAGACAGTACTTTAATGTAAGTAGAAATCAATGGGCAACTTACCTATGGAATCCATCTTTCAAAACTTCTTGCCTCAAAATAATTTCAGAACAAGTGGCCCTTATGCCTGTAAGAACCAAAAGATCTTTTTTTAAAAGCACTCAATGAAACAATATTTAAATAATTAGATAAGAATTATTTCGATAGGCTTTACTTGCCTGGAAAATCTAACCAACTTAAAAACTTAAAATTTAAGCAATTTGAGCTACATATAAATCTATTTCCAGTATAGCATAGTGGTTAAGAACATTGACTTTGGAGTTAGATTGTCTGATTTCCAATCACAGTTTGTCACTTAATTGCTCTGTGGCTTTGGACAAGATAGTTTATCTCTCTGCTAGTTGTCATAAGGATTTAAAACATGTAGAAGCACACAGTAAGTGCTTCATATAAATGTTTGTTATTATTAATAATATTACTTTATTCAGGTGATAAAGGATATCCAGGACACCAAAAAGGAACAGAATGACTAAAGAGCCAGGAAATCTGAGTTTTAATCCTAGCTTACTGAAACTGTGTATCAGATACATACTGGCAACTTCTATATTCTAATGTCCATGCCTAGAAAATTAAGAAGATGGTATATTTATGCCTTGTGGAGGTGTTGGGAGAGAGGAAAAAAAAAAAAAAGGCAAACTAGAGGCACTTAAAGGTTCAAAGGGTTCCTTTATAAACTTACTTTAGAACAACCGAAAATCTCATATGCTGACTCTGTGCACAATTCAGACATCAAAACTATCACTCAATGTAAGCATCATAAAACTAAAAATTCAGTTACTACTGACCACCAACTCTGCCAGGCACTTTGCTATGAAACTTTGCCCCATTTCAAATGCTGTAAGTCTATGGGAAGCACATTAAAACAAACAGAAAACCATAAATTATTGATGTTGCTGAATCCATTAGATGTATTATGAAGTAAGAAAAATAACATGAAGGTGAAACCACTTGAAGGAAGGAAAAAAGAATAGAAAAAAATAACATTTGTTAAATAGTATCTTCATGCCAGATCCTCTACTTGGGGCTTTCACATGTGTTTTAACTTTCATAACCTAGCAAAATAAGCAAAACACAGGTAAAAACAAGGACTTATAAGGATTAGTAACTGGCTCAGGATCATACAACTAAGTAAGTGACTGATTAGAAGCAAAGTTTGCCTGGCTTTTAAAGCCTAAGATACTTCCACTCGCCCAGCTATTTGAAGAAATTGTATTTGAAGAAGCATATAATATTTTCCCAAATAAACATATATGCATGTATCTCTTGTACAAATCCAGATTTTTCTTCATCATGTTCAATTTTAATGGGGGTAGAGTGGGGAATAAGGGCTAATATCTACCTATAAATTAAATTACAAGAAAAAAAATCAGATTAATCGTTTCAACATCATTAGTTATCTGAGAAATGCAAATCAAAACTACAATGACATGTCATCTCACACCACTTAAAATGGCTTTTATCAAAAAAAACAGGTAATAACGAATGCTGGTGAGGATGTGGAGAAAGGGGAACCCTTGTATACTGTTGGTAAGAATGTAAATTAGTGCAACCACTAAGGAAAACAGTACAGAGGTTCCTCAAAAAAACTTAAAACAGAACCACCACATGACCCAGAAATCCCACTGCTGGGTATATATCCAAAGGAGGGGAAATCACTATATCAAAAAGATACCTGCACTCCCATGTTTATTGCAGCACTGTTCACATTAGCCAAGATGTGGAATCAACCTAAGTGTCCATCAATAGATGAACAGATGAAGAAATAGTGGTATAAATACACGACGGTGTATTATATAGCCACAAAAGAATGAAATCCTGTCATTTGCAACAACATGGATGGAACCAGAGAACATTACATTAACTGAAATAAGCCAAGTACAGAAAGACAAATCTTATACATTCTGACTCATATGTGGGAGCTAAATATTACAAACAATTGATCTCATACAGACAGACAGTAGAATGGTTACCAGAGACTGGAAAGGGTAGCAGGAAGGAGGGGATGGTTAACCAGCGCAAAAATACAGTCAGGTGGATAGAATGAACACTATTCAATAACGCAACATAGTAAAAGAAAAATAGACTTAAATTCTATTGTAATGTACAGTAGAGAGTACTAAGTCATTCATCTTGGGATGGTAGAAAAGCTACTTTACAAACAGTACAGCACATACTAGATTATTTATGACTTTTAGGGCAAAAGTACCATTTTCAAAACGAATTTGTTGTATCTGAATTCACCTGTAAGATTTTTTCTCTTAAATATTACTTTATTTGGCTGGTGCAGTGCCTCACACCTGTAATCCTAGCACTTTGGGAGGCCCAGGAGGGAGGGGAGGATGGCTTGAGCCAGGAGTTAGAGGCTGCAGTGAGCTATGATGACACCACTGCACTCTAGCCCAGGCAGCATAGCTCTGTCTCAAAAAAAAAAAAAAAAAAAAATTACTTTATTTGATTGTGGTGGCCTGAACTGGCTCTGGATATCGACCTCTTTAATTACAAAATGCCAATGGAAGACCCTTTAGAGATCATCAAGTCCAGTTATTTAAAAATTCTTTTTGGCCTCATAATCCTTTCTTAAAATAAATTTGGAAACCTAATATGTAAGCACAAAAACAGCACTGCACTGATTGACAGATACTGGTCTGACATCCTCATTTTACAGCTGGAGAAAGTCACCGGCTTTGTATTAGCTTTCCTCCCCCTATCAAACGTTATCACATTATTTTCATTACTCCTGCACTCATCTGTTTCCCTCACTACACTACAAGTTCCACCACGGCTGGGGCCGTGTTTGGCTCTGGGCTGGATCCACAGCACTGGGCACTTCGCTTGCCCAGCCCAGAGTCACTAAAAAAAAAAAAAAAAAAAACCTCAGCCCAATCCGGTCTATTATCAAAGGTATTGATAAAACCAGTTGTTTCCCCAGTCTGTATAGTCAGTTTGGGGATTCTCACACTTCACAGAACGCTAAGGCCTTACTGGCCCCTTGGTGGTCAGAAGCTTAATGCATTACAAGATCATCCCAAGACACTTCACGGCTGTACTTCCTTTTCGATACTTTAGTAACAGTGCGGCCAGTCTCGCCTTGGAACAACAAAGCCCGACTCTCCAGAAACCCAGGATCGGCCACAGAGCGAAGAGCACAGGAGGGGAAGCGGGAAGGAGGAGGAAAGCACGCGGCCTTTGTTTTTAATCTCCTCCAGCGCACCCTACCATTCCAGCGTCCCGTGCTGGGTATCCGAAGGCCCTCCGCAAACCGCCGAGTGGAGAGGACCCGGGAGTTTGGACTGCTACCCACCCATGGGCCCCCAAACCCCGCCTGCACTCGCGCAGCCCCGCCCCTCCCTTTACCAGGGTCAGAAGGGGCGGTGAAGGCCGTGGCGGGCCAGCGGGTGCGCCCAGTCACCGCCCAGAGGAGCAGCCAGGCTACCGCCCGGACAGCCACGGCCCAAGCAGCCAGGACGCCGGCGGGCGGTCGCCCGAGAGGGGCGTGTGGGGACCAGATGCGGACGGAGAAAGGGGCCTCCAGACGCTTCACGCCGCTCCTAGAGCGCGCTGCCGCGGACTTAGGGACAGGGGCCGAGGGCTCTGCGCGTGTCCCTCCGTACCCCCCCTATCTGCAGCCCTGGTCAGCAAAAGTTCCGGCACCGCGTGAGGCGGCAGGCCGAGTCCCCGTCGCCGCCCCGCCCCTCGCCGTCCAGGACGGGGGCTGGGCGAGAAGCGGCGCAAGCGCCGTGGAGTGCACCCCGGCTGTCGCTGTGGGAACTGCTCCGCGAGCGCCCTGTTGGAATGTGAACCCCCGCACCCTGTCGTGGGTGCCGGCTTGTAGCGACCTGGTCCGGCCTCCACTTCCGCTTCCAGGTGTTTGCGGGGTTCAGGCCGCCTGCTGAGGGGTTCGCTCCACAGTCACGTCGGCAGGGCTGTGGTTGTCGCCTCTTCCTGCAGCGCCAGGCTCCTCCCGCCCTCACAATCGACTTAAGTGCTTCTCCGTGCACCGCGGTTGGGTGGAAACAACCCCCTCCCGGCGGTTTAGACGTTGGCCTGCAGGAGAAGATGCACTTTCTGTATTTCTCTAAGGGTAAGAAAGTCAGCCTTGCGCTAGTGGGATTGTGAGTAGGGAGAGAGGATCGTCTACCCCCTGGGGAAATCCGTACCCCCCCTTAAGTGCTGTGGGGGATGATTAAGATTATGGGCAGTCACTGATCTCTGGAAGAAATGTATTCATACCCTGCAAGAATAATTAGGTAAATGGACTGTCGGTCTTTCTGAGTTGAGTGGAATCTGTAAGCAGGCCTAGAGAGCATCCAGTGCGGATTGGAGCAGAACAGAGAGCTCTAAGGGCCAGTGAGTGTCTCAAAGAGGAGAGTGTATGTCAAAAAATACTATCTAAAACTGAAAATAGCAGTATACTCATGTTGTTAAGAAATACAGAGATAAATTTTGGAAGACATAGCTTTAAAAATTGAAACTGGGCCGGGCGCGGTGGCTCACGCCTGTAATCCTAGCACTCTGGGAGGCCCAGGCGGGTGGATCGCTCAAGGTCAGGAGTTCGAGACCAGCCTGAGCAAGAGTGAGACCCCCGTCTCTACTAAAAAAATAGAAAGAAATGATCTGGACAACTAAAAATATATATATATAAAATTAGCCAGGCATGGTGGCACATGCCTGTAATCCCAGCTACTTGGGAGGCTGAGGCAGAAGGATTGCTTGAGCCTAGGAGTTTGAGGTTGCTGTGAGCTAGGCTGACGCCACAGCACTCTAGCCCCGGCAACAGAGCAAGACTCTGTCTCAAAAAAAAAAAAACAAATTGAAACTGGTTCCCTGTGAAGAGTAGGGCAGAGAACAACAGTTTTTTGTTCTCTCATAGAATTATTTTACATTCCAAACAAAGGACAAAATTATTTTAGTAAAAACTAAAGTTAAATTTTAAAAAGAAAGGAGTCTGTAGTCAAACTACATGTTGAGTATCAGTTGCATACATCATTCACAAGTACAGCCATTTGCTTGAATGTGTGGAGTTTATATTGTGTTCTGTGGGATCTCCTGGAAAGTTTACTAACAAAATTTTAGTTGGGTGAACAGGGAGTAGTATTGATTAAAAAGAAGAGAGAAAAGAAAAGAAAAGGAATGAGAGTGGGGGAGGATCATCGCATCAATTTCGAGGCAGAGCACAAGAATTTGAAAAAGTTCTTTATATATTTTAATTTCATAAGAGTAAAAATTCTCATGTCCAACTGTAAGTGGTGACTATTAATATAGATTATGGTACATTCATAAGACAAAACACTTGGCAGTCATAAAATATTGCATTTTAGTAAAATATTTAATGACAAAATAATCACATAGGTTGTTAAATTTAAGTCAGGAAATTGTATGATATTAAAAAATGTTATAATTTTAAAAAATATATATATATACCTAGTAAAAGACTGGAAGTAATCAAGGGTGATTATTTTATGTATGTTTCCTAACCCCCTCCTTTGCCCCAGTTTTCTGCAATGAACATGTATAACCACTGTTAAGTATTTTTAATATAACTATGTTCCTATAGTGATTCTCCAGTAGAATTGAGTTTATGAAGATATCACAGTAAGCCACTTTACCTCAGAGGTTTCTCTTTATTTCTTTCCCTTCCCTTCCCTCCCCTCCCCTCCCCTTCCCTTTGACAGGGCTTTGCCTTGTCACCCAGGCTAGAGTGCAGTGGTGCTGTCATTAGCTCACTGCAGCCTAGAACTCCTGGGCTCAAGCAATCCTCCTGCCTCAACCTCCCTAGTAGCTGGAACTGCAGGTGTACACCACCGTGCCTGGCTAATTTTTAAAAAAATTTTGTAGAGATGAGGTCTCACTATGTTGCCCAGGCTGGTCTTGAACTCCTGGGCTCAAGTGATCCTCCTGCCTCAGCCTGCCAAAGTGCTAGGATTACAATTCTAGCCACCATGCCCAGCACCTCAAGATTTCTTGACATTTGCAATCTTGAGAATGTCATAGCCACATCTAAAGCAGTTTGTGTGATTAAGTGTATTTTGGCATTGAGGTTGGAGAAGGGAAGAAAGAATAAAAATATAAACCTGCAAATAGCTGTGTTTCTTGTAACTGGAAAAATATCATATAGCGAAACAAATAAGCTGAAATAAAAGTCATGTAAACATTATTGTCTTGTATGTGAAGAGACCAATTCTGTGTCAGGTCTGCCTTTTTGATCAGGCTTCTAGACTGTAAATACTTACAGGATATACAGGGGCTATCTTATATTATTAATACATAGCATTAAACAAGTATGTATGGAATGCCTACTATGTTCCAGGTATTGTGCTGAGATGTGAAAAATGGATATGCTCCCCACCTTCAAGTAGCATATAGAGTAGAAGGAAAGATAAATGATTAAATAAATAATTAGAAAAAGCTCGATGAGTAAATATAATTGGGAAAGTACAAGGTAGACGGATCTGATCTAATGAATCTCTCAGGACAAAACACTCATAGTACCTTTAATACAGAGGGTGCTTGATACATACTTTCTTAATTGATAAATAGTAAAGACCCTATCGTTCAGTTGTTGGGCTGACTCAGGGGTTCATATACAGTCTTTGGTAAGAGTGTAGGACACTTAGAGGTCCAAACTGAATTGCAATCCCAGGCTCAAATGTGAACCAACTTACATCCTTCAATGAACCAAAGAATCTTAGGGATCCAATGGACTCGGGCTAACCCAGGACAAAACTGAACTTTCAGGCCCTTGAAGGATTGAGCTTCATAGGCTGAGCATGTGTCTCCAGAACTGGACTAGAGCCAGATCTGCCAGGGAGGAGAGAGGAGGACAGTGAGATTATCCAATACCTAGTTGTTTTTTTTTTCCGTTTTCCTTTAGCAGGAAGTCATTATGCAACTAACACATTTTCATCAGATTTCCTCTGATTTACCGTGAAGTGTATGTGGGGATAATGTACACTGCCAAGAAATGTGGGATTAAATTCCAGCCTCCAGCTATTATCTTAATCTATGAGAATGAACTCAAGGGGAAAAGTCGCCAGCGCATTATGCCAGTTCGAAACTTTTCAAAGTTTTCAGGTACCTCATGTTTTATCTTGCCTCCTTTTTAAAATATTCTCTAAATCACTTACTAAAAACAATTTGGGTCTCATGTAATGGAGTGACATGGCCTTTAGAGTTAGGCAGACCTAGGTTCAAATCACAACACAGGGACTAGATGTATGACACTGGCTAAATTACTTACTGTCAATGTGCTTCAATTTCCTAACCTGTAAAAGGGAATTGATAATTTTTTTCCAGTTTGATAATTGATAATTTAATCCTTTTGGGATTATTACATGGGTAGAATGAGATAGCATTATTCAGTAATATTGATTCCCTTCTCTCCCTCCAAATGTTTATTTATAATCTTGATTTTTATTAGTACCACTACTGCTATCTAAAAGCTATAAGACCACTTTTTCTTCTCAGACATTTTCTCCAGTTGAAAGTATTTAACATCTCCACAAAGTGATTTTAAGTTGAGGAGGTAAAAAATACATCATTCCTTCCCCTACCATATTCAAAGCTCAATGTAAAGAATGGTTGTACATAATAATTCATTCCTATAAAGCCATATAGCTACTTAGCTATAATGGAGATAATGCTTTCAGGGTTCTGAGTTTTTTGTTCTGTTTTGGCCCTTGTGAAGTAGTTCGTAGTGCATCAATTATTTGTGGTGTGTACGATGTATATAGTATATAGGGTTTTTTCTCCCTTCTAGATTGCTCCAGAGCTGCTGAACAATTAAAGAATAATCCACGACACAAGAGTTACCTGGAAGAAGTATCCCTGAGGCAGCTGGAGAAATTATTCAGCCTTTTACGAGGTTACTTGTGGGGACAGAGTTTGGCAGAAACAATGGAACAAATTCGACGGGAAACAACCATTGATCCTGAGGAAGACCTGAACAAACTAGATGACAAGGAGCTTGCCAAAAGGAAGAGCATCATGGATGAACTTTTTGAGAAAAATCAGAAGAAGAAGGATGATCCGAATTTTGTTTATGATGTTGAGGTTGAGTTCCCACAGGATGAACAACTGCAGTCCTGTGGCTGGGACACAGAGTCAGCTGATGAGTTCTGATGCCAGACACTAAAAAAATTTATTGGGATAGCTGAATATCCATATTTATACAAAGTACATAAATTGATTCTAGAAAAAAATCTTTAAAGAATACTAAATGTATATGTTGGGTCATAATTGGATTGACCGTGTTACTTTTCAAAACCAGGATATTTAAAGCATCTACTATGTAGGTGCATGAGGAATATAGGCAAAAGAGAATAAAGGAATCTGCCTTTGAGGAGCTTACAATTGAATTGGAAGATAAGTCAGAAACCTACGAAAAGCTAATGTACAGTATTAGGCAGTGAAAACATTAGAGTCAGATGCTTAAATAAAGGCTAAAGAAGGTTAGAGCCTAGAGTATCGTAGGGTAGAATAGTAAGGGAAGACTTTGTCCTTTAGTGGGGAGACAGGACTTTGCCTAGTCCTTGAAATGGTAGTAGTTGAATAGAAGCTTGTGTAGGATTCCAGATGAGAACAACTAGAAAGAAGGGGGAGGGAGGAAGTAAAACAACAAGAAATAGAAATTTGTATTTGATTGGCATTCGAAGTGGGCAGAAAAAAAGAAAAAAGAAAAAAAAAAGAAATTTGTATTTGAAAAACAGTAAGCAAATTATAGTTTGACAAGATTGGAGGGCATATATCGTACAGGGAATTATCCCGTATGCATTGTGTCTTTATATGTATTTGACTGGAGTGGAAGAGTGCCCTGCAAAATGCCCTGCAGCTGCAAGTAGATGTCATCTGATGGACAGCAGGGAAATTCTGCCCCTCCAGTACCATATCAGCAAATATATGCTAAAGACATTCTGAAACCCCGAAACTCTTCCCATAAGAGGATTGTTTATAAAATGGGAAATCCACCAATAATAAATGAACAATAAGTACTGCCAGTTTAGACCTATTCATGACTTGGATCTACAAGAAAGGATCTTTGTTTAACAAGGTTGTCTGTGTATAGATACATTTATTACTAGAATATTATTTAAATGGTAGAAATTCCATGTTTTCTATGAGGAAATTAATATTCATTAAATAAAACTGTAAAAATAATTATTTACTTTTCCTACTTGTCCATCGCTAGTCTCTTTACCATTAAATGCCCCATTAGTGGAATCATTCTTGTAGTGTTTTCATCAGGATCTTAAGATAGTCATGTCTCATATGTATATTTGCCAAAGGTAGCAAAAGAATTTTCAGAATTCTGAAATCAGAACAGATCTTTCTGTATTTACATAGTATTCTATTTATTCCATTGTATAGATGTAGGTCATTTATTTTAAAAGTTGAGTGATCTTCTTTCATTACTACATACAGTGCTACAGCAAATAACCTTGTACATTCTCCATTTTGCACATGTGTGAGCATATCTATAGGAAAAATGCCTAAAGGGAAATTGCTGGGTATGTGCATTCTTTTTTTTTGAGACAGAATCTCACTCTCTTGGCCTGGGCTAGAGTGCTGTGGCGTCAGCCTAGCTCACAGCAACCTCAAACTCCTGGGCTTAAGCGATCCTCCTGCCTCAGCCTCCTGGGTAGCTGGGACTACAGGCACGTGCCACCGTGCCCGGCTAATTTTTCTGTTTTTAGTTGTTTGGCTAATTTCTTTCTAGTTATAGTAGAGACGGGGTCTCGCTCTTGTTCAGGCTGGTCTCAAACTCCTGAGCTCAAGTGATCCTCCTGCCTCAGCCTCCCAGAGTGCTAGGATTACAGGCGTGAGCCACCACGCCTAGCCCATTCTAACTTTTAATAGATATTGTTAAGTGGTCCTCTGCAAGATTCACTCATTCAGTATTTGTACTTAATGAGCACTTACTACATTCTAAGCACGTACTATTCTAGGTTTGGGGATACAGCACTATACACAACAAAGTCTTTGCTTTTATAGGGTTTACAGTCTAGTTGGAGAAGAGAGACAATAAACATAAATACATGGAATAATGTCAGATAATAAGTACTCTGAAGAAGAAACAGGGTGAAAGGAGAATGGTGGAGCATTCTAAAGCTGTTGTTTTAGATCAGGTAATTGAAGAAGGCCTCACTGAAGAGGTAATGTTTCAACAAAGGCCTGAAGAAGGTAGGGAAAAATTGATAAGCATTTCAGCATTAGTGGAAAAAGGCAAGTGCCTAGGCCCTGGGGCTGGAGTGTGCTTGGCATATTTGAGGAAAAGCAGAAGGTCAATGTGGCTAATACAGGAGATGAAGTGGGAGTGTATTTTACCAGTGCATAGATAGCACTTATCATGAAGGTTGTACCAACTTAAACTATCAGCAGTACATGAGAGTATACCTTTTCCCTATATATTTATCAATAGAGAGTGTTAATCAAGCTTTACATATATATATATTATATATATATTTTTTTGAGACAGGATCTCCCTCTGTGGCCCAGGCTGGAATAGTGTTATCATCATAGCTCACTGTAACCTCAAACTCCTAGGTTCAAGCAATTCTCCTGCCTCAGCCTCCTGAGTAGCTTAGGACTAGAGGTGCGTGCCACCATGCCTGGTTAATTTTTTTTTTATTTTGTGCAGAGACGAGGTCTCACTATTGCCCAGGCTGGTCTCGAACTCCTGGCCTCAAGTGATGCTTCTGCATCAGCCTCCCAAAGTGCTAGGATTACAGGTGTGAGCCACCATGTCTGGCCAAATTTTATAATTTAAAAGTGGTACCTCATAGTTTGTGTTTCTCTTATTTTGAGTGGGACTGAGTATTATCACATATTTAAGAGCCATTTTTTTGTGAAATAACTGTTGTGTCCTTTCCTCATTTTTCTATTGGGTTGCTGGTCTTTTTCTTACAGATTTATAAAAGCTATTTATTAAGAAAATTAATCCTTGGTCTATGATGAGTTGCAAATATTTCCACCTTGTCAATATTTTTAAAATTTTTTTATGATTTTTTCTAGGCAGAATTTTAAAAATGTGATTAAATTTATCACTTTTTTTCTATGCTTCTGCATTTTCAGTCATATGTAGAAAGCCACTCCTCACTCCGATTATTTTTTAAAAATTTTTTTCTATATATGAGTTTATTTTGCTATAAGATGTGAAATGCGAATCCAACTTGATTTTTCTCCAGATGCCGTTCAATTGTCCCACACCACTATCTATTAAATTATGTATCTTCACCCCACTGATTTGAAATGTCACCTTTATCATATACTAAATTCCCATATGTAGCAGAATATTTATTTTTTGATGATGTTAATGTCATCTGCAGCACACTTCCCAATTCATGTTTTTTGATGTTTATTGAGCACATCTCATTTGTCTGCTAGGTTAGAAGTTTTAGAAAGTTACGAAATAGTCCATAACTTTGCCTTTGAGGTGTTACATAGCCAAAGCAACAAAATTAGCACATATGCAATAGAGGTACTGACTAGAACAGAAGGGGGAGATCATGTGAGTTGAGCACCTTTGGGATTTTTTCTCCATGTGTCTTGTTCTGTCCAAAGTTAATTTCTCTGCTGAGCGCTTTGAGATTTTTTCCATTTTAAAATTAATACATATCCATTATTTTAAAATTTTAAACAAATACCAGAGTGTAAAAGTAAAATGGGAAAGTTCTCCCCTCACTTTCTCCCCCCAATTCCTACTCTGCAGAGAAGTTGGTTTCCTTAAATGCTCTGGATCCTTTCTCTTGTGACCTTGCTTCATCAATTATTCTTTCTGTGTGTCCCCTTCTCTCTCATTTTCAGCTTCGTTCTTTTGCTGGCTCATTCTGTGCAGTTTGTAAACATATGCAAGCCTCTTCCATATTAAAACAATAAAACACTTGACTTTACTTTGAGTCTTTCTTTACCTAATATTGTGTCTAACCAAAGTTTAACTCATCGCAATATTACATAAATCCAACATTCCTCCTAACCCCTACTTTTTAGAGCAGATCTAGCTCTAGTCCAGTTCTGGCGACACATGCTCAGCCTATGAAACTCAATCCTTCACTGCTCTGAAAGTTCAGTTTTGCCCTAGGTTAGCCTCAGTCTGTTGGATCCTAAGATTCCCTGGTTCATTGAAGGATATAGGTTTGTTCACATGTGAGCCTGGGATTGCAATTCAGTTTGGACCTCTAAGTATTCTACATTCTTACCAGAGACTGTATATGAACCCCTGAGTCAGCCCAACAACTGACCTATAGAATCTTTACTATTTATCAATTAAGAAAGTACATATCAAGTACCCTCTGTGTCAAGGTACTGTGAGTTTTTTAACCTTAAATATTTTGTCCTGAGAGATTCACAAGACCAGATCTGTCTACCTGTACTTTCCCAATTATTTTACTCACTAAGGTCTTGTCATTATTTAATCACCTATCTAATATTTTGACAAAAGTAGTAGTGGATGAAAATTGAGGAAAGGCCACTAGATTTGGCAACTAGGTCTCTGTTAATATTCATCAATGAAGCTTGAAGGGAGTGATTAGGATAGAAATTGCAAAATAATAAAAAAGAAACAGGATTATAGACTTAAATGACAAAGTTAAAACTATAAGTTTTAGAAGAAAATAAAGGAAAAAAATCTTTGTAACCTTTGGTTAGGCAAAGAGTTCTTAGAATTGGCACCAGAAATATGATCTATAGAAGAAAAATTGATATATTGGATTTCATTAAAATTTTAAAATTTTGTACTTCAAAGATAACATTGAGAACATCAGAAGTCAATCCACAGATTGAGAGGATATACCTGCAAATCAAATACCTGAAAAAGGACTTGTATCCAGCATATATAAAGGACCCTTACAACTCAAGAAGAGAAAGAAAAATGGGCAAAAGATTTACATAGATATTTCACCAAAGAAATATGCCATGTTCATGCAAAGCACATGAATGGATGATGAACAGCATGCGCAATTAGGGAAAGGCAAATTAAAGCCACAATAAGATACTACTTCACACCCACTACAACGTCCATAATAAAAAAGACAGATAATAACAAGTGTTGACAAGGATGGAACTGGAACCTTCATACATTGCTGGTGGTAACATAAAATGGTACAGCAACTTTGGAAAACAGTTTGGCAATTTCTTAAAAAGTTACACAGAAACTTATTACACGGGTTCAGCATCCCAAATCTGAAAATTTGAAATCTGAAATGCTCCAAAATCCAAATCTTTTGAGTGCCAACATGATGCTCAAAGGAAATAATCATTGGAGCATTTCAGATTTTGGATTTTTGGATTAGGGTTGCTGAACTAGTAAGTATAAGGCAAAAATTCCAAAATTTTATTCAAAATCCCAAATCTGAAACACTTCTGGTCCCAAACATTTAGGATAAGGGATACTCAAACTGTACCACCCAGAAATTCCACCCATAGGATTCTACCTAAGAGAAATGAAAGTATTTGTCAATAAAAACTTGTACATGACTGTTCATAATAGCATTATTCATAATAGCCAAAAAGTGAAAACGATACGAATGTCCATCAGTTGCTGGATGCAGAAACAAAATGTGGAGTATCCACAAAATAGAATATAATTCAGCAATAAAAAGAAACTAAGTAGTGATGCATGCTACAAAGGATGA